AATCCCATGAGCGAGCGCTAATTCAGCCGGGGGACGTTCAAGATCGCGCCACCAACGAGGGGAGCTCCGCCGACCAAGCCGTGACGCGCTGCGCGGAGAAATCCCCCTTTTTGGCGGCGCGGCGGGGAGTTTCAGCGGTCAACGGGTTGCGTTGGTGACGAGGTTGATTGGCACTGTCCTTGAATTTGATTGGTCCACACCCGAGACGGCTTTTCTTAGAGCCCTTAGTCTTTTGGCGTCTTCTGGTCCAACACCAATGGAGACTAGGCTCTAAGAAAAGCCGTCTCGGGTGTGGACCAATCAAATTCAAGGACAGTGCCAATATTATTATCAGAGTTGTCTCTTTTGTTTGCATTTTGACTGCTTGTGTTGTGGCTATTGCAAACGTGATGCCTTGAATAAAGGTGTCAGTTTTTTTGTGCCAGTTAAAAGGGTAAAAACCTATTACTATATCTTGTTACTGGCAAAGGAGGTCTCATAATGTAAATCTCTCTGGCTGCCGGCGAATAACGGTGGCCCCTGGTTTCGTGATTGGTGACCGCGGGCCGCTATTGGGCCCTTCCTTATTGTCCCTTGGGCGTAGGAAGAGACGGTCACTTCGGGCCGCGCGATGGATCGGATGCGATTCCACACGGGGGCGGTGTTTGCCGGGTCGGCGTAAACCCGGTGGGGGGGGGGGGGGGGGGGGCGGTCGGAGATCCGGGGACGTTGTCCCACCGCTGGGACAGGTTCTCCCCCGTCCCGGCAATAAGGCCAGGGAGCCACTCGCACCTCCGATTATCGCGGTCGCCTACGTACTCGGCTACGTGACGTGCGAAAGAAGTTCCCCATTCATTCATACGTACGTTTGACGCGCGATAAATCGGCTGTAGGTCCACACGTGGCCAGGACTGTGGTGGACTGGTAGGATGGGAGGGGTGGGGGGGGGGGGTGATCCTCGCCCCCCTCCGGGGATCTCGTGTGGGCGTGTGCGTGTGGGCGAGCGGTAACGATGATCCAGCGGCTGGCGGAGCTCCCGGCGACGAGAGCAAGGCAAGTCCCCGTCCCCCCCCCCATCCCCCGCCCCATCCCCCGCGCGGGGCGATTCGGTGATGCGGAGCGGCCCTCCCACGCTCCCTCTCATTAGCGGCGGCGCTCGCTGGAACCTCCCCCGTTGCCGAGCTGCGAAGAGGATTAATTAGGCCGGAGGAGTGACGGACGTACGGACTGACGGACGGATGGACGGACGGACGGACACTTATTTACGCGTGTGGTCGGTCGGCGATGGGGGGGGGGGGGGGGGGGCGGCTGAGAAGGGTGGGGGGCGGCTGAGAAGGGTGGGGGGGGCGGCTGAGAAGGAGGTGCACGGCGCGAGCGTTCGCTGGCCGTGATTCGCGTGTCGACGCCGCGGCGCGCGAGGAATGTGGACGTGGGAAGCGACAAAAACTATTCCGCTATTCGCCTGTAAGCTTTTTTTTCTTTCTTAATACCAGTTAAGGCCCCACTGAGCCACATATGGCCACGTATGGCCACTTAGCACCGACGCACATTATCCCACATTAACCCGCAAACTGAACGGTAAACTTACCATGTAAATTTTTGCCAATAATTTCATTTTGCCATTTTCTTTTGCCCACTGGGCCATGTAGCCCTTTTTCAGAAGCGACCTGGCTATCACAAGCGACAGCTCAACGGAGTGGCTCATCATTGTCGCGTGGAAATTTCTGGCAGCAGCCAAATACTCTAAACGCGTGACGTCGATCCTGAATGTGGAGGGAAACAGCCGGAGGACCCGGAGAAAAATCGATGTGACCCCGGGGGGGAGAGGGAGACACGCAAACTCCAAATATACAGCAGGCGTCAGCGTCGGGATCGAACCCACGACCTCCTGTATACCAGGCGAGGGAGTTAACATCTAGCCACCGTGATGGTGATGATGATCAGAGAGAGAGAGAGACAGACGCGGACTCCAAATATACAGCAGGTGTCACGATAGTCGAGACCGAACCCGCGACCTCCTGCGTACCAGGCGAGGGAGTTAACATCTCCTAGCCACCGTGATGGTGATGATGATCAGAGAGAGACACGCAAACTCCAAATATACAGCAGGCGTCAGCGTCGGGATCGAACCCACGACCTCCTGTATACCGGGCGAGGTAGTTAACATCCCTTAGCCACCGTGTGATGGTGGTGATGATCAGAGAGAGAGAGAGAGAGCGAGAGACGGACGCGGACTCCAAATATGCAGCAGGCGTGAAAAAGAACAGAGCGTGAGAGAGCCGTGGGGGGGGGGGGGGGTGGTGGCGGTTTGGGGTTGGTGGGGATGGGGGGGTGAAGTTGTTTTGGCGTGGGACACACCACCGTCTGTAACCCGTCAGCCCGCACTGAAACTAGACAAACACTGACGCTCGCCGCCCCCCCCCCGCCTTCCCCCCCCCCCCGCCCCCGTCGCTCATTATAACAACGCTCCTCGGCAGCGAGACCCGGGAGCGGTTCGGCACGGCGACGGTAGGTGGCGGAGGAAGACGCCGCCATTGGGGACGGTAGGTGGCGGAGGAAGACGGCGCCATTGGCGGCGGTTTTTGACAATCCCAGACTCGCGGTAATTGCGATGCGTGTCTGTGATCCCGGCGCCTTTGGTGGAGGGGGGGGGGGGGCGATGTGAGAGAAAGTGTGGGGGCTTGGGAGTTAGCAGTGAGTTTGAGGGGGGGCGGGGCGGCAGGGGTGGTTGCGGGGGAGTGGTGGTGGGGGCGCACTGCTTGTGTGGGCGATGTGCGTATATCCTGGCATTTTATTTATATTTCATTTGATATCCCTCCCTCCCCTTCCCTTCCCTCTCCTCCCCCGGTGAGCTCGCGTGCAGATTATTTAATATTGGCTGTGTGTGTGTGATAAGTGTGCGAGCGAAGTAGGCGAGTGGGCGGCCAGCATGCCTGGCTGTGCCGTGTGTACGTCTGTGCGAGCGCGTGCGGGGAGCGGTGGTGCGGCGGTTGGCGCGCTGCGCTGCGAGCCCCGGTAACCTGAGTTTGATTCCCGCTCACGGCCAAATTCCGGTGACGGATTGCTTGAACCGTTTTGGGCATCCCCCTCGGTCGACACTGGGGAGACAAAGGCGACCGGGCGTGGTGCTGGCCACCGACTCCCCCGTCTTGTGCCGTGCCGGCCTTCATAGGTGCTCGCCGACGGCACTTGCCCCTACAGTCCGTCAAGGCTACACGGGGCTTCTTTGTCTGTGGCGCGGTTTTTGCAGCGGTCGGCGCGCGCTGCGCCACGAACCCCGCGACCCCTTCCCGCTCGTGGCCAACGTCGGTGATGAATATCCGAACGCTTCTGGGGCCTCCGCTCGGTCGACTCGGCCTCAAACGAGTGCCTGGCGCGGTGTGCAAACATCCCAACCGCGGGAGACAAACGCTCGTTAGCCGAGCACGTGAGCGCTCTGCTAACGAGCCCGTGTCCCAAAAGTCTCTGCGGCGGGCGATATTGGGGGGTGGTGGTGGGTGGGGGGGGGGGGGCTGTTCTCGTGGCTCCCCTTGCTCTGCGTGCAGGCTCACCGGCGCGTGCCCAGAGGTGTCGTTTGTTTGACCTGGCGGCTAAACGCCCCCCCACCCCCTCGCCCCCCTCCGCCACCACCGCCCCATCTTCCCCAGGACTGGCATTTGTTTTAATGGGGCCCCCCCCCGCACCCTGCTGACGTAGGTGCCTCTTTCGGGAAGCTCTCCCATGGCTTGACCCGTGGAATTTACATTTTGGTACAGATACATTTTGGTACAGGCTGATGTACGCCCCGGGTGCCGGCAAGGGATGCGGTTCCCTACTGGTCGACCCGTGTCGTGTTTGCTGATGATTTGGTTACTTGCTCCTCTAAAAAAAATAGTTTGAGACCCTTTTGCTGAACCTGGAATGTGACCCTCTCAATCGGCCCCCCCCCAAAAAAAAACATGCACCCGCCTGAGTATCGGTGTCATCGAGCACTCCTCCCCGCTCAGCTGCCCGTGAGTGATGGGGCAGTTGTGGCGGGAGTGGAGAAGTTTCCCCCCATACCTTTGGCAGTGTTCTGTGACGTATTTTCATCAGCTGCGTAACAACTGTGCGGGATCTCGCTGGCCTGTTGCTCCACGCCCTCCCTTCTCTGCGCCTGTGAAACGTGGATCCCCACCGAAAGAACATTTGCCCCGGTTTGAAAACATTCAGGCCGGTCTGCCTACGAGCCATCATCTTCGGTTTAATCTCGTTGGATTGTGTGAGGAGCTCACAGATCCTTCAAAGATCTGGACACGGTCCCATCAGTGAGCCCCTCCGGCAGGCGAGTCTGCGCTGGCTGGGTCGTGTCGCCCGCGTGCCCAGCCACCTTGTGCCCAAGCAGCTTTTGTTCGGCCGGATAGATGGGGCTGAACGGGCGCAGCACATGCTAGAGAAGAGACGGACTGATGTGGTACAGAAGGATTGGAGTTACGATTCGGATTTGCCGATGACCGGTACCAGCGGTGTCAAGATCGGCTTGTGTGGTGGAGGGCGCTACTGGGCACTTTCGCCCTCCAACGACAGCGGAGGGCAGAGGACCGATGCTCGCATCAACGAGCGGAGCGCTGGGCGGATAAAACACAGCGAGTTGGCAGTGTAGAGAGCACCGGTGGTGCATCGGCCCAGTCATCTCCCGTCAGTCAGAATGATAGCACCTGCTGGGTCTGTCCCGTGAGCTGTCAGCAGCAAGCCTTCCACACTTCACGTGGCCTCACAAGGCACGCGGCCTAGCCTATGCACTTTGGTGACGTCACCACCGCTTCGTGGCGGCCGCTGTCCTTGCGTGCGTGCTTGCTTGCACTTTTGTGCGTTGAAGTGGGTTCCGCGCACTGCGCTGTGAACCAGACGAACCTGGGTTCGATTCCTGGTCGCGGCCGACACCGGTGCTGAAGCGTTATCTGAACCGCGCCGGGGCCTTAATCGGTGCTCGCTATAACCGCACTTTTGCCCCCTGTCGTACTGAACAGGCGGACCTGCGTTTTTGTCCTTGTTTCCTTCAGCCTCAGACTGCCGAAGAGCTGCTCCAGATGCTGGAGAGAGGAAACCTCAACCGGACCCAGCATCCAACCGACGCCAACGCCACTTCGTCGCGCTCGCACGCCCTGCTGCAGGTCCTCGTCTCCCCACGCCTCGCCCCCCCCCCCACCCCCCTCAACCCATCCTGGGTCCCCTGCGTCCTCCGTCGAGCCCGTCACTCGGCCGTTTTGGTGGCGGCTGTTTGAGACCGCCCGCTCGCCACCCGCGGTGAAATGAAGCAATCGGCGGTACCCCGGGGGTCCCATCACTGCCCCCGGGGTGGGAAAAACCGTGTAGCGACACGAGTCTTGTTGCCTTACCGACAACAACAAAACTCTAGTGGTCAATCGATTGGCCTCGTCGAGAGCTACTCGGGGACACTAAGTTTCGTAAAAAGTTGAAAAATTACATAAACACGTTGAATTCACTGGCCTGGGGAGAGCGGGGCTCGCCTTGGCAAAGAAGCTGAGGATCGACGGCTGATCGGAGGGCGTCGACGGCTGACCGGAGGGCGTCGTCGCTGCGCGCGACTGCGGCGGACGCCCCCCGGGGCTCGCGATTGGCCGGTGGGGTGGCGCCCCATCGTGTCGATCGCCGCCTGCTGCTGCTGCTGCTGGCGCTTGTTGGCGCGAGTCTGGGCGGGCGGCGCGTTGCTGTCGGGATCACGAGTGGGCGGACTGAAAAATAATAATTATTGACCTGATTTTTGCGGGATCCCGGGGTCCCGCCAAATGATTTAAATGTCGGGGATGAGACGTGACCGCGGGCGGGACCCCCTTCCCCCCCCCCCCCCCCCGCGCGGTCGGTGCGCTGAGCCCGGGGTCGCTGAGAAATCTGGGTTTCGAGTCTGGGGCTCCCAGCCGGCCCCCGCGATGAACGCCAAGATTCCCACTGCGTGTACGATTAAAAACAAAAAAACAAAAAACCCGTCGTTTAAGTTTGGCAACAAAAAAATGACCAAATTACAGCTCTGAAAATTGGTTTGCCATGTGACGGTTTTTGACTCTCCGTTAAAAGCGCAGGGCCTAAAAAGTGTACCGCCCCCGCCCCTAGCAACATGCCTCTTTGATGATGTCCGCTGCCACGAGCCGCTTTCTACCACGGGGCGGGGGGGGGGGACGGTCGGCGATTCGTTATTCGGACAGACTTCGGGCGCCTTCGTCAAACGCCGTCACCTCGAGGGCCTCTTTGGGAGCGTGTTTTGGACTCCTCTCCCACGCGCACCGACTGGTGGCGAACCCATTGATCCCGATGGGGGGGGGGGGGGAGGCGGGGGGGGGTTTCAAGATCCCGTCCCGTCGCTCCGACAACGTCTGCGGGTGGGGAGATTTGAACGGCTCACCTCGGGTGCGCTCGCAGTCGCACCGTACGGCAGCGTACCAAACAGCGGCCGCCGCCGCCGCCGCTGCTGCTGCTGTACAATCGGAGGGAAAAAATGTAACCGGTGAATGAAATCGATGCAAAGAGAGCATTGGTGCACCGGTGTGCACTGGTGGTGAGCGGCGGTGCACCGGGTAGTGCATTACCAACCCAGCCTAACTTGGAGCGCGATCCCCCGCTAACGGCCAACATCAGCGATGAATATCTTAACCCGTCCTGGGCTTCCCCTTAGGTCGGCTTAGCGCGGGGAGAGAAAGACGTCCGGGTTGTGGTTCTGGCCACACCGCCCCCCCCCGGGCGAACAGCGCTCGCCCCAACAGTCTGTCGAAGGCCGTACGGGAGATATTTGTCTTGTGCGTGTGCGTGCGTGCAGATCTACGTGAAGCAGCAGGAGCGCCTGGCCGGCATCAGCCAGAGCGTGCGTGTCGCCAAGATGTGCCTCATCGACCTGGCGGGCTCGGAGCGCGCCACCGTCACGGCAAACCGCGGTGCCCGCTTCAGGGAAGGGGCGAACATCAACCGCTCGCTGCTGGCACTCGGCAACTGCATCAACGCCCTCGCCGACCCGAAGGTGGGCCCTCCCTCCCCTCCCCTCCCCTCCGCTCCCCTCCCCTCACTCCCTCCCTCCCTCCCCTCCCTCTCTCCCTTCCATCCCTCCCCCCCTTCCCTCCATCCCTCCCCCCCTTCCCTCCCTCTCTCCCTTCCATCCCTCCCCCCCTTCCCTCCATCCCTCCCCCCCTTCCCTCCCTCCCCTCCGCTCCCCTCCCCTCACTCCCTCCCTCCCTCCCCTCCCTCTCTCCCTTCCATCCCTCCCCCCCTTCCCTCCATCCCTCCCCCCCTTCCCTCCCTCTCTCCCTTCCATCCCTCTCTCCCTTCCATCCCTCCCCCCCCTTCCCTCCATCCCTCCCCCCCTTCCCTCCATCCCTCCCCTCCTCCCCCGAGTTGTAGGAACTTTGGGTGTTCCCAGGTATGATGAATTCAGTACAGGATACAATTTTTGTCTTCAACCTCCGTAAGCGGAACTCCATTCTGTGCCTTCACACACACACACACGGATAAAGCACTCTGCAGTCCGCCGGCTATTGACTTTCCACGCCGGCATTACCAAACAGCAGCAGCAGCATCAGCCGCCGAACAAAAGACGGTCACTGCGTCGCTGCGCTTTCTTTCGGCCGTCCGGAACGCTCTTCCTTCCGACGTTAGGCAGCCACTGGGGCCCTGTGCCCTTTTAAATCGTCTAGATTGAGACCTCCTGTGTGCCGAGCGAGGTAGTTAACATCCCGCCACAGGTGCGAGTGGACGGTGCCTGCTCGGCCTGTGAGGCATCTAAGCCGGCGCCGTCGATGTTTTGAGTTGAAGGCCTAGTTCTCCGGGTGTCTCGTGGGGCGTGTTCTCGTGCGATGACGTGCGTGTGTGTGCGTGCGTGTGTGTGCGTGTGTGCGTGTGTGTGTAATGGGAGCGGGTTCGATTCCCGCTCACGGCCAACTCCAGTAATCTGAACCGGTCCTGGGCCTCCCCTGGGTCAACTCGGCCTCAAACGAGTACCCGGGTTGCGCTTTCATAAAAATCGCCACCGGGGAGACAAAGGTGGCCGGGCGTGGTGTTGGCCACCCACCCCCACCCCCCCCTCGTGTGCCCTTCCAGCCTTGATAGCTGCTCGCTAACAGCACTTGCCCCCCCAAGAGCCTGTTAGCGGGGGGGGAGGGGGGGGGGTGGTGAGGGGGGTCTTTGTGCGTGCGCTGGTTGGCGCGTGGCGGCGTTTAGCGCCGTCGCCGCCGCCGCGCGGCCCGGCCCCCGCCTGCTCTCGCTAAAGGTCTTGCTCACAAAGAGAATAGACCGCGCGACCTTTCCATCGGGTAGAGCCCTTTCACCCGCTCCATCACTTTAATTTTTATTTGTGCTCCCTCACTGCCCATCCCCCCTCCCTTCCCCCTCCTCCTCTCCCTCCCCTCCCCTTGCTGCCTCCCTCCCCTTGTCCTCCACTCCCCTCCCACCCCTCCCTGCCTCGTTGGCCGTCTGTCGGTGCGCCCGTTTGTTCGAACCGTCCGTCCGTGCGGCCGCCCCTGTTCGTTTTGTCGACTTTTTGGCAAGGACACAAGAAGGGAGTTGAGAAAGAAAGAAGCCCTGGTAAAGTTTTGCACGGAGGGCGAATCGATAACGCCGGCGGGGACGATGTCCGTGCCTGCGCCGCGCATCACTTCACATCGATGCGCGCGGATGTGCAGCAGCAGCAGCAGCAGCAAAATAAAAAAGAAAGCGCATCCTGTGGTGCGCGGCGTGTGGTCGACCGCTGGGATGCGGCCACGTGGCGAGCGCTCTCAGTTAACTTTGGAGCGAGCGGCGGGCACACCGGGGCGGGCACACCGGGGCGGGCACACCGGGGCGGGCACACCGGGGCGGGCGGGCCGGGCGTCGCGGCTGACCGCTTTCGCCTGTGGTGGTTGCGGCGTCTGCCGGCGGCGTGGCGAGCGGCGGACGCGGCGAGACTAGCGGTGGAGGGTGGGGGGGCGGGGGGGTGACCCACCGTCCCGGTGAGACAATGGGCAGCACGCCGGGGGGGGGGGGGGGGACCGGATTGTCTCACCGGGAGCCGGGTGTGTTCGCACGCCCCCCCCCCGTTCCGCGAAGCCGAGAGGCGCCGGCAATTCGCGGAACCGGCAATGGGAAGGCGCGGGAGCGAGGCACGCTCGGGCGCCGCTCTCGCTCGCCTCGGTGAAGCCACGGGTAGTTAACCCCCTCCGCGCGACCTCCTTCAGCCGGCACGCGTGGGGGAAGCAACCTTCGGATTCCCGTGTCGAACGGATCGCCACGCGGGTAGAAGTGTACATTGTCGTCGTCGTTGTCGTCATGAGCAGCAGCAGACATGTCTTTCCACTGCTGGATGAAGGCCTTGATGATCATCGTCAAGAAGAGCAGCAACAGCAGTTGTATTTACTCATTCCGTGGATGCTTATGAGCTCCAATATTCATTTAAAAAAAGTGGTAAAAAGTAATAATAATTGATGTTTATCCTTTCTGGCGATGAAACAGTAGTTGTGTTAAGATGTTCAGTCACCGAATAGAAACATTTGGCAAGGCATCAAGTTTACTGCATTAACCACACACACCACAGTACTTGTGGTGAGCATGCAAACACAACATGCTCCGATAATATGCGCATTGTGTTTGGAAACTGATTGGCCTACAGCAGAGGAGTGTCTTTCGTTTCAGTTTCATTTATTTGGTTTTACCCTGTGAGCCATTCGGCTCTTGATTCGGGTGCATCCGCGACAAACAATAAAATTACAAGATACATTTCAAATTTACTGCACGCAAATTTAAACATCCTCTATGAAAACAATTAAATCTTCCAGAAAAAGCACCATATTTTTTTGCTGCTTACAAAAAAATGTGCAAAAAATCCCAGTTTGATGTTTGATAGCAATAACAATCACAATACAATCTAGATACAAATTCTAAGCGTAACTCTAAACTGCAACATATAAATACGGCTAAACTAAACCTTTTTAGAAATCACTAAAATAATGCTATAGAAAAACAACGTAACAGTGATGATTAGAAATGCGATTGAAAGTTAGCGATAGCGACATACATAACATGTCCAGTAAAACCTTGCATTGCGAGTAACTTGGTCTGCGAGTGTTTCGCAAGACGAGCAAACATTTTAAATAAATATTAATTTGATAAACGAGCGAGGGTCTTCCAATTACGAGTATTACGTATACGCTTTGTCTGCCGAGCATCACGTGATCACAACCGATATACGTTGTGCTTTGATATACGAGTGTTTTGGATTACAAACACGTTTCCGGAACGAATTATGCTCCTCGCAATCCAAGGTTTTACTGTATTACTAAACCTAGCATCCTTGGATAGCTGCATGAGCCAATCCATAATAGCAGGAGTATCAATAGTGGTAGCAGCACACTATAATCAAAATACATGATAATTTCCTGCATAGGTCATCCGTGGCGATATATTTGATTTCAGGCCACTGGATAGCAGTGGCAGCTAGGGTTGTACGACTCCTCTAGCGCAGTTTTGAGTGACGATCTTCTTATGGGCAGTGATCCAAGTTGGAGTTTCATTGCGACAGCATTCCAGACCCTGGGTGCATCAATAGCAAAGGCTTTTCCTCCGATGTTTGTACGGCAAAATAAGGAATGTAAAGCTGGTAAATGAGCGAAGATCTTAGGTCACGTGTTTTTTTTTTCGAAACAATGCAGAGATCCAGCAGGTAATCTGCGGATTATTTTTGTAAGTACATCGTAAATAAATAATATCTGATGCATAAGCCGTCGCCCATTAAGAGATGTTGAGTTTGACCCAATGTAGAGATCACAGTGGTGGGTCCTATATGGGCAGTTCACTGCAGATCTTAACGGCCGAGTGATAAATTGAGTCGAGCTTCAGACCAGAGAGCGCCAACAGGTGAACTGCACAAGGACAATGCACTTGGAGCTCGGGGTGAGCAGCTACAAAATGGGATACCTTTTTGGCAGTATCAAAGTGCGAAAAAACCCCCCCCCCCGTAACCTCATCCTCTGATCGTCACCCAGTAAACAACATCTCTAAATGAATGATACACATTTCGCTCCGGGTTGAGGTTCCCTAGCCGAGGGGTGAAGTCCCTCCCCTCCCCCCTCCCCATGTATCATGTGACCCTTGGTCAGAGTTTTAGTTTCCCCTGGGCGAGGAGCTGCTCAAGAGTTGCCCCTCCTGGACGAGAGTCGTCGAGGGTGGTGGGACGACGAACCCCGCACGTCGCACGGGAAACTCGGCCGCGGCGTCAACCGTGGGATCGGTGCCGGCAACAGCGGCGATCGAGAGCCGCGAGCGGTGCAGGCCGCCTCTCGGGAGGGAGGCGGCCTGCATTCCTCGCGCTGCTCGCGCCTACCCCTTGGCCCCTCCCCCGCGTTAGGGGGCCAAGGGTCGCGGAACTCCCGAGGGAGCGCGGCGAGACGGCGCCCTCGGCCCCACGGATTCGGCGCAGGCCGGAGAGAGGCCGCCGCTCGGGAAGAAGCGGCCTGACCCGGGCACGCCGGGGGCCTGCGTAAGCGCGGGGTCTTCCAATGCCCCCGCGCCTGGGGGGACCCTCCGAGCCCTCCCCACCCAGCACCACCGACGGCGGGATTCACCCTTCCCTCTTCTGGGCGAAGGCCTCCGGGCGCCACCGTCATCTGCTCACGTGAATTATGCTCGATCGTGGATGGTTTTAGTTCGCCGTTCGCGATGTACGGTGACAGCGCTAACGGTTTCGGCCATCCTGATCGTCGCTGTTGTCACGGTCAGTTATGCAGCTGCCCCTACGTTTGACGGTGACCGCTTTGCTGTGCCATCAGCCGCAGCCTGCGGCCTCCCCCCATCGAGCCGAGACGGGGGGGGGGGGGGGGGGAAGAGCTCCGTCTGGGAGCCGCTCATGATCGCCCTCTTCCCCGCTCCGTGTTTTTTTTCCACCCCCCCGCCCCCCCCCCACGCGCAGAACAAAAACCAGCACATCCCGTACCGCAACAGCAAGCTCACGCGTCTGCTCAAGGACTCGCTGGGCGGCAACTGCCAGACGATCATGATCGCGGCGGTGAGCCCCTCGTCTCTCTCCCTGGAGGACACCTACAACACGCTCAAGTACGCCAACCGGGCACGAGAAATCAAGTCCGTGGTACGTACCCCGGCACGTGCGCCCGCGTGCCCGCCCGCCCGCCCGCGCGTTCGATTGTGCGTCCTTGTGGGGGGGGGACCGCGACGGCGAGGCGGTTGGCGCGCTGCCTCTCCTAGATCGACTCAGCCTCAAACTGGGGGGAGACCAAGGTGGCCGAGCGTGGTCTCGGCCACCCACCACCCTCGTGTGCCTGGCCGGCCTTCATCGCCGCTACTCGCTAACGGCACTTGCCCCGACAGTCTGTTACAGGCTACACGGGGGGGATCTCTTGTCTTTGTGTCATCGCCAATCGAGCGACGCGCGGGTGCATCTTAAAAATTTGGAGCCCCCGACGCCATTTTCTCACGATGGCCGACCGAAGCGGACGGGGGCGTTCGTATTATTAACTTTTTTTTGCGGCGATAACCAGAAGTGTGGTGGGGGGCCGGGGGGGGTGGTGGTGGTGGTGGTGGAGGGAGGGGGGAGGGCTGCCCGGGTGAGCACCGCAAAGCCTCACGCGTCGATCGGCGCCGTTCACCGCCGCCGCCGCTGCCGCCGCCGCCTTCCCCGCCGTTCGTCGCCTGCGGTCTTTGTTTTGGGGCGGAATTTTTCCGGCATGACCGTACCCCCCCAAAAGAATCGGTGTCCTTGAGCCGACGGCAACGGCAAACGGGCGTCTTCCCTCTGCCTAGGTGGCGTCCAGCGTGGGGTTGTTTGTTTTTTTTTTCGCCCCCGATAAGCCTTCGGGAAGTCCGATTGTCGATTCCAAAAGCTCGCCGGAATCAAACTCGACCAGACATCCGTGGGAAAGAGCTCCTTAGCTCATCGGGTTCCTCCAGTGTAAATAATTATTCTGATTCTGGGTCACCGGGTGCCGTGACCGACCGTGCCATCCGCCATTGGCCTTTGTGGTTTCTCCTCCCCCCCCCCCCCCCCCTTTTTCCGGCGTGACCGTACCCCAAAAAAAAATCGGTGTCGTAGCGCCGATGGCAACAGCACCGGCGTCTTCTCACTGCCCAGGTGGCGTCCAGGTTGTTGTTGCCGGCAAGTGTTTCCCCCCCCCCCCCCCAATAAGTCTTTGCAAGTCCGATTGTCGATTCCAAAAGCTCGCGGGAATCGAAACCGGGTTCCGTGCCCGCCGCTCTCGCCCATTAAGCTACGCCGACTGCCCCCCCCCCCCCCCCCTTACGCACCCCTCGGCGTTGTTTCAACGTCGCGAGGATTTGCGGCCGCTCCGTGAGAAACCTGGCCGTCGACTCCGTCGAGTTTCCAGCGACGGGTTTTTTTTTTTTACACCCCGCGTTTCATTCTCTGCAATAGCCCACGGCGCTCCCGTTTCCCCCGCTCGATGTTTATTTGTCGCGTCTAGGATTCTGACGGCGCACCCACGGCACAGACGTGGGGATTTAAAAAAAAATATATAGATCTGCGTTTTCACAAATCCAGCCTCTCTCTCTCTCTCTCGGGCGCTTTGCCTAGGAAATTGATCACTGCGTTGTGACGAACAATGAACATTGTACGTGTGATATTCAAATTAGTTTGGGCTCCCTTCCGCGAGAGAAGAATGATTGAGTTATGATGACACGATTTGCGGCGGGGTTATTTTCTGCCGCGCAAACACGTTTTGGCAAACGGCTCCGGCTAATTTGGATCCCACAGCTGATCCCGGCTTCTTTGATGTTACCCAGCCGTTGCGTTTTCGCTTTGGGAAGCCTGGGAGGATTTTTGTCCTGCAAAATTCTGTATGCATTGCGCGTGTGTGTGTGTGTGTGTCTGCTCATGTGTGCGCGTTTGTGGTGGAGCGGCGGTGGAGCGGATCGCGCTATGCTGCGTTTCGAACCGTTCACGATTATTTGAACCGGTCATAGGCCTCTCTTAGGTCGACTCAACCTCAAATGAGTAACTGGCGCGGTGTGTAGTAAACACCGCCATTATAGAGGCAAAGACGGACGGGGCGTGGTGCTGGCCACCCACACCCTCGTGTGCCTTTCTGGCCTTGATAGGTGCTTGCTGACAGCACTTGCCCCAACAGCCTCTTCAGGCTATACGGGGGATCTTTGTGTTTGTGGGGAGCGGCAGTGTAGGGGTTAGCACGCTTCGCTACGAACCTGGCGACCCGAGTTTCGATTCCCGCTCAAGGCCAACACCCAGTGACGATTGTTTGAACTGGTCATGGGCTTCTCTTAGGTCAAGAAAAACTGTCCCCCGTGTCTAAATAGGGGGCGCCGCGGTGGCTAAGGGATGTTAACTACCTAGCCTGGTAGTTAACATCCTGACCCTGACGCCTGCTGTATATTTGGAGTTTGCACGTCTCTCTCTCTCTCGCTCTCTCCCCACGATAGCGTGGAATTTTTTTCCCGGGTTACTCTGGTTTTTTCCCTCCACATTTTATAATGGGCGTGCGCTTCGAGCAATTTAGCTTCTGTAAATGTCCGCGCGACGGCGGCGTGCCACTTGCTTGAGCCATCATTTGTGATGGCCAGGTCGCGTCTGAAAAAGAGCTACACAACTCAGAAGGGCTTTTACACCTGGTAAGATAATAAAAAAAAACAAATGAGAATAGTATTCTTGGTACTTTCGGTAAAGTCACGTAGAAGGGAAACAATACAATAATGAAAATATAAAACAGTAAAATTCTCACGACGTTTCGACTGCAACACAAGCAATCATCATCAGGTGGTAAAACCATAGCAAGAAAATTTGAAAAAAGTGGCGTTTTTTTAACGTTAGCACCACGGAGAGCGATTTGGCAGTTGTTCAGATGGACGAGTCCATCTATGTTCTTGGTTCTTTCAGTAAAGTCACGTTGAAGGGAAACAATAAAATAATAAAAATATACAACAATAAAATTCTCACGACGTTTCGACTGCAACACAAGCAATCATCATCAGAATTGTATTGTTTTATGTTTTTCTTATTTGATTGTTTCCCTTCTACCGCACCTGATGATGATTGCTTGTGTTGCAGTCGAAACGTCGTGAGAATTCTATTGTTTTATATTTTTATTATTTTATTGTTTCCCTTCTACGTGACTTTACCGAAAGAACCAAGAACATGAATCCCTGCAGTCACGAAAGCTTGAAATCAAAAATGACAATAGGTTTTCCTCCTTGGTTCTTTCAAAGAATGCCGATTTAATTTTCACCTACGTGACTTTACCGCAGTCACGACAACTTCAAATCTAGAATTTAACCACCTCCGCGGGGAGGATTTCCACTTATCTGTTAGAGTTTTTAACGGGCAACGGGACAAGAAGTCGCAGCTAATCGAGACGCTAACCTTCGCCAAGAGATGCCGATTTAATTTTTACCTAACGTGACTTTTGCCGAACGAGCCAAAGAGTATGGGTCCTTGCAGTCACGAGAACTTCGAATCTAGAGAGAGTAGGTTTATCCCCCTTTTTTCTGGTAACAAAACAGGTTGTGTTAAGATGTAAAAAACACCAAACTGAAACCTTTTACAAGGAATCATGTCTGCATTCTGATAATATGATGCATTGCCTTTGAAACTGATTGGTCCACACCAGAGGCAGCTTTCTTTTGAGCCTCGTCTCAAACGGTGTTAGGCCTTTCGGCGTCCTCTGGTCTAACACCATTTTGAGACGACTCAAAGGAAAAAAGGCTGTACATATTATCAGTGTGTGTGTGTTTTTGTTTGCATTCTGACCACAAGTATTGTGGTTAATGCAGTGACGTGATTCCTTTTAAAAGGTTTCAGTTTGGCGTTTTAACATCTTAACACCCATATTCTTGGTTCTTTCGGTAAAGTCACGTAGAAGGGAAACGATACAATTATAAAAATATTAAACAATAAAATTATCACGACGTTTCGGCTGCAGCACAAGCAATCATCATCAGGTGTGAAAACCACAGCAAGAAAATTTGAAAAACGTGGTGGTTTTCTTTAACGTTTTCTTGCTGTGGTTTTCACACCTGATGATGATTGCTTGTGTTGCAGTCGAAACGTCGTGAGAATATTATTGTTTTTATATTTTTATTATTTTATTGTTTCCCTTCTACGTGACTTCACCGAAAGAACCAAGAATATGAATCCCTGCAGTTACGAAAGCTTTAAATAAAAAAAGGTAAGAAATAAATATACATCTGGTATGTTTATTTTTGATGCTGGGTAATAGTGACGTACACGTTACTTACATCTGGTATAGTTGTTTTTGATGCTGGTTAATAGCGACCTACACATTACTTACATCTAGAATATTTGTTTTTGATGCTGGGTAATAGTGACCTACACGTTACTTACATCTGGTATAGTTGTTTTTGATAATGGTTAATAGTGACCTACATGTTACTTACATCTGGTATAGTTGTTTTTGATAATGGTTAATAGCGACCTACACGTTACTTACATCTGGTGTAGTTGTTTTTGATGCTGGGTAATAGCGACCTACACGTTACTTACATCTGGTATAGTTGTTTTTGATGCTGGGTAATGGTAACCTACACGTTACTTACATCTGGTATAGTTGTTTTTGATGCTGGTTAATAGCGACCTACACGTTACTTACATCTGGTGTAGTTGTTTTTGATGCTGGGTAATAGCGACCTACATGTTACTTACATCTGGTATAGTTGTTTTTGATGCTGGTTAATAGCGACCTACACGTTACTTACATGTCACAAGGGTCGTCGCTGCAAGAGAGCTTTAGACTCGAGGAGATGGGAAGGCATTCCAAAGTGGAGCCTTGCAAGGGGAAGGAAGCGCACACATGAGTGAATTGGACCTGCATTGTAGTGGTTTAGTAGGTGGGTGGGCGCGTGGGTGTATTGTTGTCATCTGCAGTGTGTTGGTTATACCATGGGATATCTTGTTGCCAGTATCAAAGTATGAAAAATAAGGGGTTTGACCCTTTCTGGCAGCGTTCAGATGCTGAAACGCCAAACAGAAACCCTTTGCGAGACTCAAGTCTGCATTAACCACACACACACACACACAGTACTTGTGAACATGCAAACAAAAACATGCTTTGAAGATGTATGCATTGTCTTTGAAACTGATTGGCC